ATCTTTAAATGGATTGATACGTTGACTGATCCAAACTTTTTTATCTTCATTAACAATAATAAGAAGACTAAAATTACATATATTTTTTTCAAATTTACTAATATTATCTTTATTTTCATTTAACAAATTTTTGTTAATTTTGATTTCTGCACAAACTTGTGTAAAAAGAGCATCAACAGAAAATCCATTTTTTTTCATTTTTTCTAATGTTTCTTTGTATAATGATAAATCTGAAAAATACTATCGAATATAGTTTGATAAAGATCAATAGTGTTATTATTATTTTGAGTCATTGTTAAAGTTACATATTTAAAAATCTAACTGGTTTATAAAACTAGTTAGATGTTTATTAAAAAAAATAAATATATAATATATTAATCATCACTATCATCCATTCGTAATTCTTCATCCTTATAGATAGAAACACCATTAGTTAAAAATGCATTTTGTTTAGTTATATAATTTGGTATAATATTATTTAGTCTAACACAAATACATTTTTTTTCTTTACAATCTGAACATTTTTTATCAAGAACAACAAATCCATCATCTGAAATATATGATGATTTGGAAGAAACTAAACATGATTTTGAATGAATCGAATCGATATCAAAATCTTGCATATTATATAATTTGTTTTTACATTTAATACAGAATTTTGTTTTTCGAAATGTATTTCATTACTCACAATATAGTATTTTAATTTTTCTTTGATATGGATGTTTAAAAATATATTTTTTTAGTTGTATTTCTTTAATATGTGAACTTCTTTATACTAATATTTGATTTCTATTTATAGTTATATATTCAGTTAGAAAATTATATTCATCTTTGCTCATGAAACGAGAAAATTCTTTTAAATTATTTTTATAATGCATTTTTGAAATTACATCAATAAAATTCTATCAGGTTTTAAAAACTTGATAGATATGTAAATTTAATAATAATAATATAATATAAATAAAATAAATCAAAATAAACTCATTATTTATCTAACTTTTTAATAGATTTCTCTATGTTAGAAACATCTCTAATAGCATCATTTAATGACCAACTTAAAACTTGCTTCTTTCAAGTTTCTATTTTAACAAAATATGGATCATTTCGATCAAGTGGTAAAATATCTTCAATTTCATTCAATTCTGATTCACATGCTTGATAATAAATACACAATTGTTTCATAA